GTTTGCTCAAAAGTCATGTCCATTGAGTCGGTGATGCCATCCAACCATCTCACCCTCTGTCACCCCCTTCTCCTCCTGCCCTCAGTCTTTCCCAGCATCAGGGTCTTTTCCAGTGAAAAGATCAGCTGTAGCCAGCTTCTTTTCATGGTCTGCTCTTTCTCCCCCTTCAGATCTCAGCTCAAATGTCACCTCCTCAGAAAGGCTTTCCCTGTCCCCTCCTCCCCATGTAAATCTCTTGCCTTGGGCCATGAGCCACTTGGAAGGTGCAGGCTTATCTAACTTGGGGCTCACATACAGTGAGCTCAGCAAACAGGAGCTGAATGACTGGCCTTCCAGACACCTCTTGGGGCCAGGTGGAAAGCTGATTAAGTGTTCATCATCATAGTTGCCCTTTATCTAGCACCTTCTAGGGGCCAGGTGCTGTGCTAAGTACTCTGCACATGCGGTCCCATTAGATGTCACAAAGAGAAACCCATGTGCCCACTTATGGATGGAAAGATTTCCCTGGAATTATGAATACAAACAGGGACTGCTGCAGTGACAATCCACTGTAGATCGACAGAGCTCGGAGGGCACTTGCAACTGTCCAATCTCCTGACTTTATAGAGGGGGAAACTGAGGCCCAGAGGGGAGAAGGCACTCGTCCAGTTCATACAGCTGATTAGGGCAGAGTGAGGAATCACAGCCAGACTGCCTTTTTCTGGGGTGTTCCTGGTGATGTGCAGCTCTGTGCCCTGCCGCTCTCTTTCAAACCAAGGAGTAAGTGAACATGCTACGGTTTAACTGCATTAGGGGGCCGGCTGCCCCTCAGGAACCCCTGGCAGGCGACAATGTCATAATAAATTAGAACATCAATAAATGGATTTACTGAACATCGTTCTGTGGCAGGCACTTCACACACATCCCCTTATATAATCCTGCAAGGTAGAGGTGCTCCTGTCCCGTTTTACAGACACAGAAACTGAGGCTCCGAGGGGTGAACTGGACTTCCCAGGATCACATGGGCTATAGTTACAGAACCTGAGTTTGAACCCTAAGTTGTGCGGTGATGATGGCGATGGTACTCCTAGCAGGAACAGTGGTAGCTGCAGCATTAACAGGAGTGATGGTCGCGGCAGCCGCAGAAGTAAGGCAACGGTGGTGATGGCGGCAGCAGCAGCTGCGGCGGAGGAAAAGCAGCAGTGGGAGCAGCAGCAGAGGCGGCAAGGCATATCTTTGACCCAGTAGTGGCAGTAGCAGTCGCCCTCATCCTAGTGGTAGAACTGTCAGGACATACCTTTGACCCAGCGGCGGACATTCAGTCAGAATCCCAAAGCACCCACTTACGAGACTTCAGACTATTCCAGCACTGTTCAAATAGGGCTGCTCACGTAGCCATTGGAAGCCACCCCCGAACACGCCAGTGGGGCACGCCTTGGGCGCGGGCTGGAGTTCTAGAAGGTGCAGACAGGCGTGGCGGACGCGCCGCTCCCGGGCAGCGGCTCACTGCTCACAACGCCACCTACCGGGACCCGCGGGACCTGCAGGAGGTCGGCGCGCAGGCGCAGCGGCGGTGGGTCGCGCAAAGCCGCGACTCTGAACCAAAGGAACCCGTCAATCAACCAACTAAACCCAGGAAATGGAATCGTCCTCCGTTCTCCTATAAGCTTCTGTAGAGGATGATCAATGGGTCAACACTGAACAATTAGCAGCCAAGCGCTTGCCTGTGCGGTTTCATTGATTCTCAGTGAACTAAGAACTGTTAGTATCCCCGTTGTACAGACAAGGAAACTGAGGCTCAGAGAGGTGCGGCGATTTGCCCAAGGTCACTCAGCTGATAACTAACAGAGCCAGACTCCAACACTTGATCACGTTACCATACACATCACAAACCAAAATATTCGTACAACTTAACACTAAGACAGCTTACTTCATGTTTCTAATTGCTTTACAAATAGTATTTATTTATTCATTCATTCGTTTATTTTTGTGTGGCTCCACTGTGCAGTTTGTGGAATCTCACTTCCTGACTAGAAATTGAACAGAGGCCCTGGACAGTGAGCGCTGGGAGTCCTAACCACTGGGCCGCCTGGGGATTCCCTACAGTATTTAATGTAAGCCTCACAACCTGTGAGAATGGGTGCTGGCGGGAGCCGCTTGGTACAGAAACGGAAACGGAGGCTTTTTATGGAGAAGTGAGCTTCATTTCCTTGTCTATAATAGAGAATTTGAATCACAGTTCAGTGAGGTTTAACTAAATGCAGCAATGAGTAAAGAGTTTTTTTTTTTTAATATACTTTTAGAGTCTTATTTATTTGGCCACACCACATGGCATGCAGACCTTACCCAACCAGGGATGCAAACGGTGCCCCCTGCAGTGGAAGCTCGGAGTCTTAACCACTAGACCACCAGGGAAGTCCCAAGAGTCAGTCTCTATCAAACTTTTGGGCTCACTCCGTCCACTGGCACCCAAACGGGCACGACTCAGGGGAGATATGGAGTCAGATGAGAGCCCGAGGTGCCCCCAGAGCTGGCAGGATCACCCTGGCTGAGTCCTCTTGCCCCATCCCTGGGGTGTTCAGTCTCTTAATCTGATAAATGCAGCTTTTGATGCCCACATCAGGGCACTTGTGATATGATGTGTACAAAGTATCGTGCAGGGCCTGGTATATAGCTGGGGCTCAATGTGTGTTCCTTCCTCCCTGCCCCAGGCAGAAGTGAGTCCCACTCTAACAAGGATGACATGAGAAGGCATAGATGCACTGTTGACTTCATCCCTGGGGTCACAATCCCAAAGTGCTCCTGGGGCCAGGCAGGTACCAGGAATAAAGAAGGCTGTCCTGGGAAAATTCTGACCTTCCACAGAGAAACTGCCTTCCTGGTGTCACTATATTATGTTGGAAACATGCAGAAAAACTTTTTTTTTAATGTTGACCATTCTTAAAGCCGTTATTGAAAATCTGTTACAATACTGCTTGTTTTATGTTTTGGTTTTTTCGCCATGAGGTATGAGGGACCTTAGGATCGAACCTGCACTCCCTGCATTAGAGAGTGAGGTCTTAACCACTGGACTGCCAGGGAAGTCCCAAAAAGCTCTTTGTAAAATATATATATACACTCAGAATTTTTAAAATTTGTTGGCAGAATTTTATATTCAAAGGGAAAAATCCTAAAAAACAGTTGGAGCATAGAAAGATCAGTGGCATTCTTCCTATCAGCAATGTTAGGAAACATCATGAAATCAGAGACAGCAAAAAGCTTAGTTCAGACTTCTAACCCTTGGCCACATCAGAGGGAACCCTCCAAACTGGATATCCGACTGATTGTGCACAAGACCTCTGAAGGTGTTTCACAGTTTTCAGAGTCAAGCTCAAATTCCTCAGCGGCATGATCTCTCACACAGACACAGCCTGCTCTGGGTCAAGCCAAAAGGACATTGCCTATGAACTGGAGTGTCCCCTCTTCCTCCTCTACTGGGATCCTCACAACCCAAACTTTTCCATCGAGGTTCAGTGTGTGCCCCAATCTGTGGAGTCAGGCTCCCTCTGGGTGCTGGCCACTCTATATTACCTCTGCTGATTTACTGGTCCATCTTGCCCACTAGACTGTATGTTATGCAGGAGCAGGAATGAAGTAAAATATTTTCCTCCACATTTAACCCTAGTACCAGAAAAAGCACCCGCCCATGATAAAGTGTAAATAACTAATGGTTACAGGGTTGGGGAGGCAACAGGGATTGGTGGAGACTGAGGCAAAGTGAAAGTATATCCACCCAATCGCCCCATCCGGCCAAGGGGGCAGTCATCTCTCACTTCCAGCCAGGCAGTTTGATTTGTCTAAGAAGCTAGAAATAAAGATTTTTCTGAGACATGTCAGTTTCTTAACGTGGCAGCCAGTTCCATTTTTCAAAACCAGAAAATAGGACCCAGACAAAAAAGAAAGTCCTTGGCTGGTCCCCAGTTGTATCCTTTGATCCAGAAAGAACAAGGAAAAAAAAGAATCAAGAATCAAAACAGCACACCAATGTGATTCCAAAATAGAGATTTATTTATTAAGGATTATTTAGTTTCTGCATAAAAATCACCAATTGTTCCTCATTGGGTTTTTAAACATACATCAATTCTTTGTGGGTTGCTTTGGTCATCCCGACACTTTAAAAAGACAATTCTTTTTAGAGCCAGGAAGGACAGTAAGGCAGTAAGGCTTGTTCGTGGGTTCATCCTCTCCCCCTCAAAAGAATACACGTGGTAGGTAGTTGCTTAGGTTGGAAAGGCTGTCCCTGAAGAAGGTAATTATGCAGAAGAATGCAAATACAGTCATCTATGGTCGATTATTTGTGCCTGATAGCTTTAAAATAAGCCTCCCCTTGGTCATCAAAGGCTTGCTGGTTGGTTTCAGCTATAAAAAACACTGTCTGGCAAAAGACAGTAAGAGAGGACTCTAATGACAGTGCTGGGAGGTTCGGCTGTGCAAACCACATGAGAACACACACCAGTTTGCTTTAAAAAGAAAAAAAGTCCCACAAGAGGGGCCCTGTATAATTTCAGATCAAACCCCCTCATGGTCCTTAAAATACTCAAAACATCAGTCAGCCAGCTCCTCAGAAAGACACGTGCCTATTTTCAAAGTGACGGATCTAACACAACTTCCCCCAGAGTCATGCTCCGAGTGGGGGTTGGAGGGGACCAAAAAACCCTAGGACTTGATTTATTAGAAATATTAATTGATTTTTACCACACTGAAATGAAGGCATAGTCAGTCTGTGCTGTCATGAAATTCAAAGGAGATTCGGAAGTATGATGGTTATTTATTGCTCCAGGAGGACAGATCCCAAACGTGACTTTTAAAAGACCAGGGCCGGCCCCCTGCGGACCCTGGCCTGACTCTAGGCTGCTCTGGGGGCGCGCCACGGGCAGGGGGCAGCTGGCCAGTGAGATTCACAGTGATTCGGGTTTGCCTGTTCCTGCAAGGGGTCTGCGGTCCGGGGGTGTGCCGTCCGGAGTACCCGCCGTGGAGCTGGCCTACACCTTGTAGTTGAGCTCGGCGTTCATCCTGGTGTACATCTCATAGATGACGTCGATGGTGGCCGTGTAATTGACCAGGAAGAGGCGGATCTTCTCCAGGCATTCCTCCTCTGTCACATTCTGGCCCTTGGAGAGCGCTTTGAGGAAGTCGGACTTATAGGGGGCCGCGTACAGTGCTGCCTTAAGACGGGTGACAGGGGGTGGCACAGTGTTAGAGGAGGGGGAGCCCCAGCCACTGGTAAGGTTCTGGGAGGGAACACCCCCAAGGTTCGCGCTGGGCAGGAGGTCTGTGTTATCCATGGCATTGGCGGGAAAGGCCAAGGGAGGGGGGTTTGTGTGTGTGTCCCCTCCTACCGGGTGAGGGACAGCAGGAAGTTTTGGCGACAGCCAGAGCTGGCTTCCAATTCCAGCTTGTACTGCTGACTAGTGGTGAGCCTTGAGCAAGTTACTTAGCCTCTCTGAGCCTCAGTTTCCTCATCTGTAAAATGGGGATAACAATGGCACCCACCCAACTGGGTTGCTCTTGTCAGGATTAAGGAGGTCATGCCAAGTGCTGAGCACAGTATCAGGCACACAGTAGGTGCTCTGCGAGGATGGGCCTCTTCCCTCCGGTGGGTTCCCTGCTCTGGAGAAGGTGAACAGCTTCCTCCTGAGACCCACTATCTGAGGGGCGGGGCGGGGCAAGGATGGCGGATCTGTGCTGTTCCTTTTTTGACCTTCAGGGGGCGACATTTCCCTCAATTTCAGGGCGTCCCTGACAACTTGAATAGCCCAGAGAACCAGAAATGCACAGAATTTCCAAACCAGAAGGAAAACAATGCAACTGGATAAAAAGGCTTAGGCTACAAGTTTGAGAAGGTGAGGAAATTACAAATAATAACATCATCATTAAGAGTCAAAATGGGGGGGGGGGGGGTGGGAGGGAGGCAGGCTCAAGAGGGAGGGTATATATGTATGCTTATAACTGATTTGGCTTCCCTGATAGCTCAGTTGGTAAAGAATCCGCCTGCAATGCAGGAGACCCCAGTTCAATTCCTGGGTCAGGAAGATCCCCTGGAGAAGGGATAGGCTACCCACTCCAGTATTCTTGGGCCTTCCTTGTGGCTCAGCTGGTAAAGAATCCACCTGCAATGCGGGAGACCTGGGTTCGGTCCCTGGGTTGGGAGGGTCCCCTGGAGAAAGCAAAGGCTACCCACTCCAGTACTCTGGACTGGAGAATTCCATGGACTGTATAGTCCATGGGGTCGCAAAGAGTCGGTCACAATTGAACAACTTTCACTTTCATGTCTGATTCACCTTGTACAGCAGAAACCAACACACCATTGTAAAGCAATTATCCTCCAATTAAAAAAAAAAAAAGAATCAAAATAGAAATAGCTTCAACATGCCAAGCACTGTATACAGAATAATACATAGACTCTTCACAATGAGCCTGTGAGGCAGGGCCTATTTTATGTCTATTTGCAAGATTAGTATACTGAAGCTCACGAATCCTGGCTCAGGAATTTCTTACTGTGTGACCTCTAGCAAGATACTTAACGTCTCTGGGCATCAGTTGCCTCATTTGTGAAATGAAGGCAAGGACAGGGCCTCTCGTGAAAGTGACCCTCCACGGGCAGCCTGCCTTGAGCTAGGCACCCAGGGCCCCCAGTTATGGTGGTGGTCCTGAGACCTTCACAGGCGGCAAGGCTCTGTGGGCCGGGGCAGGGCTCTTGCAGTCCGTGCCCCGGATGGGTGCTGTCCCCAGCCTTGCCAGGGCGGATGGCTCACAGGTGCCATATTTCCTGCCTGGATTCAGCTGACGCCTGACCCTGCCTGCCCCTGACCTGTACCTCGCGGGACAGAGACCCGCTCTCAGAGCTCCATTCTCTCCACAGAGAGGATGGGCGGGCAGTGGGTGCTGTAGGAGAAAGGGGGGCCAGGGCAGTGTGCAGTGCACCCGTGGGCTCTCGACGCCTCTCCAGTGGGCTTCTCCCATAGCCGGGCTGGTGCCGAAGGCCTGTGGTCACCATCACCCCAAGTCACCAAGAGCCTCGTGAGCAGATGTCCCTTCAGCGGACAACCCCGTGGGTGGGCACAGGGGCCCGTCTTCCCCTCCCTGTTCCCCCCAGTGCCAGGGTCCCAGCTGGATCCAAGGGGCCAGTGAGGTCAGCCCACTGTCAACCTGAGGGTCGTTTCTGCCCTGGTTCTTCCCATGGTCTCCCAATCCAGGCCCTCGTCAGAACCGCCACAAAGCACCTAGGAAAATGCCCACCGCGAAGCAAAGGCCCCTCATTGCACCAGCCTCACCCCAGAGAGACGGGGGAGAGCCCTCCCTGAGCTCGGGGTGGGCGGTGCACACACAGACACGGGGCAGGTGGGTCACAGCGACGGAGCGTGGGGCGGAGGGCGAACCCCACAACCCAGGGGTCCCTCTGCGCCCGCGGGGCGGCTCACCTGGAAGATCTTCTGCACAATCCAGCCGTGGTACTTTTTGAGGGCCATCTCGTAGGCCTTGGTGGCGTTGACGCGGATGAGGTTCGGGTGGCTCTCGTCCCGCTCGCCGTCGCAGATGCTCTGGAGGAAGACCTGGATGAAGCGCAGGCCCCTGCAGCCGGGAAGGAGAGGGTGCGTCAGGGCCCGGCACGCTCCCGCCGGCCCCGCCCACCCACCACACAGAGGCCCGGATGGAGCCTGACCCGGATGGAGCCTGGCCCGGATGGACCCTGACCCGGATGGACCCTGGATAAAGCACTTCCCGTGACCCCAGAATACCAAGGCAGGCAGTCGCTCAGCTGTCATGTCTACACGTGCTTTCGTGTAACGTGACCCTCCCAGGGGATCACCTTACGTGTCCCAAGGGCCTCGTCTATACCAGGCCTGGGGCTGACCCCGGCCATGGCTGTGAAGTCTACAGAGGGCAGGATCTGGATGCGCTTTGCCCATTTCTATGGCCACGTGGCCATCTGTGCTTGAGGGACGAAGCCAGTCAGTACAGGTTGAAGCCCCAGTTCTGGTCCTGAAAGGGCTCAGGGACCACAGACCAAGGACATGCTGAGAACACGAGCGAGTCTGATCCATCCCTGCCTGTGCCGTGGTCCGCATCCTCCAGTGGCCACTTGAGCCCTTCCTCTGGGGTAGGATGAAGCTTCAAGAGCCAGGAGAAGGGTGTGAGTCATGGCAGGGCCACTAAGTTGAGAATCAGATCAGTGCCAGCCTTTTATTCCACATCATCTCACCTGCTCCCTTCACTCCTTCCCATGAGACAAGCTCAGCACAATCTGCCCACTTCACAGAAGGGAATGCAGAGGTACTCCAAAAGCCTCAGTCAAAGGCTGAGATATGAGTTCATATCTCAGTCTCATATCTTAGACGTGAGAGCCTGTCTCACTCCCTAACTGGGCTCCTCTGCTTCCTCTTCTGCAAGGGGGTGGGGATCAGTTTGGGGGGTTCTTGGGGCAGAAACGCTGGGCCCGAGGACTGAAAGGATAAAGTTCAGCTTTATCACCTGTGAGGTGAAGCAACTCCTCCATGCTTGGATCACAACTCTCAATCATTGGGGATCAGCCTGGAGTGTGAACCACGCTCAAGGTATAGTCCCAGCCCCACCCTGACTGGCCACCTTGCCTGGCCTGAGCCCCTGCTTCTCCCAGCCTTACAATCCCCCTGCTGCCCAGAGCTGGGGTCTTTGTCAAGCCCCACTTTACCCTGTTGCTGATGAGTTTCATGCCCCTCCGTGGCTTCCCAGGACCCCCGAGGAGGCTGGAATTCATCCTTGCCCAATCCCACCACATCTTTCCCTGCTCCTGCCTTGCATCCAGGGCCCTGGCTGGACCAGATCCTCCTGGAGGGGCAGATACTCTGCACCTCTCCTGCCCTCCCACCCCTGCAAGGCCTCTTCCTTCTGGGACCCTGCTGCTCAGTCTTGGAGATGCTAATTGGCAACCCTCCTCCAGGAAGCCCTCCCTGATTTCTCTCTGTTCCGGGTTCTGATATCCTGCTGTCATGATCCACCCCGCAGCCTGACCCCCTGCCTGGGCTGGACTGTGATACCCTAAGAGGGGCCACGCCTCTCCAAGCAGCATTCCATGCATCTAGCACCAGGCACAGCACACAGCAGGTGCTTATTATGTGCTTGACTTGTTGACATCCACCAGGATCTGCTCTCACAGTCACTGGGCTCTGCCTATGTCTCCTCTGGACACAAACAACCTACTTCCTGACCTGAACATCACTCTCTGCCTGGCTCTTCCTGAGAAACCTACAGAACCTGCCAGTGGATGGACCCGGGGCATTCCTCATTCCAGGTGTGTGACTTTCCAGCTGACAGACAACAGTAGGGCAGCTTGGCGTGGACAAGTCATAAAATAGGCCATAAGGGTGTTATTTACAGCCCACCTACGCCCTGATGCCCACACTGGCCACATCCTCCAGGGGAGCAGAACTCTTCCTGTTCCATTTCACCAAAGAAGTGCACAGAGAGTGTGGCGTGAGGGTTAGCTTCTGGGGATGGGGAGCCAGGGAAAGAGCAACTTTCCTGGCTCCTGACTCCAGGCCCCAGAGAAGGGGCAATGTTGGGAACATCCGTGGGACAAAAATGGGCCCCTGGCTTTGTAGCTGCTGCCAGGGACTGTGGAGTCTGCACAGCTAAGGGAATTCGGGAGCTGGCATAGAGCAGCATGAGCTCAGCAAGCGAGCTGCCTGGCCTCTCTGAGCCTCAGTGGCTTCATCTGTAAGATGGAATGACTATACACTGTTCCAAGTATGTGCTACGAGGACAATACGTAACATGGTCGCAAGCACTGTCAACTCTAGGGTGAGACTATCTTGAGTTCAAATCCCATATCGGGGCACCCTGCCCCCAGCCCACAGGTCAAATTTATGTGAATTAGAGTTCTTTTTCCTCTAGATGTTGTTGTTCTGTCAATAAGCTGTCATAATATACAAATCTGCCATGTGCGTGATGTGACTGACTGGCTGTAGACAGGACATCTTTGTGCAGTGCACAACCTGCACAACAGTAGAGCTCAACCACTCTGTCCCAGCACTGTCACTGTGCCCTGGGCCCATGAATTGGCCCTCAGAAGCCACCAGCAGCCTCCTCTAGGACATGAGGATACATGGGGATGATCATACCTAACTCACAGCACATAAAATATGATCAGGTGTCTAAAGAGCTTAGCACAGCGGCTGGAGTATCCATAGGTTTGTTACGCCTCTGGTGAGACTGGAACCAGCAAGGAAGTGTCACCATCAGGCAGAACTTGGCCCCCAGGGTGCTTTTTCTCTGTCACTAAGTAGCACTGCACAAGAAGGGCGCCTACATGGAAGACGGAAGTGCCCGTTCGCCCCGTCAGAGCAGACGCCCTGGGGCAGTGGCGGGGTTGGCTGCCCCTTCTCTGCAGGGCAGGTCCCCTGGCCCCCCGGTCACACACACAGCCCGCCACCCAAGCCCATCACCTCTTCAGCCACATGAGTGCCAGCGTGGCCCCCACTTTGGGCCACTCAGCCCCGTACATTTCCTTCTCCACCTCCAGGATGTTCTGCAGGGTCCGGAACTTGGTCGGGTTGGTGTCATAGACAGCTTTGATTTTCTGAAACAGAGCACACAGGGGTTCCCCCTGGGGAAGGCTGCCTCCACAGATGCCGCCCCACCAGAGCCTCGCTCTCCTGCCCACGGGCACCAGGACCAGCAGTGGGGGCTGGTCGCGACAGTCATAATCCCAGGACCATCTGCATGCACTGGATGCACATGGCGCTTTAGAGCCATAGCCTTCTCTAATCCCCACGGCAACCTGACGTGCCTGCCATCGTCCCGATTTACAGATAAGGAAGCAGGCTCAGAGAGGCGAAGCGATGCGCTTAGGGTCACAGAGCCGGTGCAGGTGGGAATGGGTTCCAGCCCTGACCAGACCCCAGAGTCCACGTTCTCCAACCACTACTGACAGCACCCTGAACCTCAAGTATCTGAAGTTTGCTTCTGTGGACAAACACAAGTAGGTCCTTAGGATTCAGAGATGTCTAACAGGAAGAAGCCTCCTGAGTCAGATGCAGGAAGTTTGGATGTGAATCCCACCTCTGCCACTTCCTTGCTGTGAGTCCCTCAACAGCTCTGGGCCTCAGTTTCCCTGTCTGTAAAATGGGGATAATGACAGCACCAGCCTCATGGTGGGTCCTTGCCGGGGGAGGGTCAGTGGTTGGGGGATGCCGTCGGGAGCTCTAAGGATTGAGGAAGGGAAGGGCTGGGTCAGTGCAACTGTGGATCTTGGAGTTTACTTTTTGTTTGGTGGAGTGAATCCAAGTACCAGCCAGTTCCTTCTCAGGTCAACCCTCCAGACTGTGAATCATAGTTTGGCTGTGACTGGATGGCATGACTGCAAGGAAGACCAAGAACTTGGAGCCTTGAGTCAGAGGAGCTGGGGGCCAGGCCTGTTTTCCACGTCTCCTTCTGTTCTTTAGCCTGGGGAGCTTGCAGTGGGGAGCAGGGCAGTGGTAACCCGGGTGGGATTAGAGTCCCAATCTGGGTACCGGGGCTGCCAGGCCAAGTACATACGGTGATGTTGCCACTTATGTCCGCCTTGATGGGAGTAAACACTGGGGAGCCGAGGCAATCTGGGGACAAAACAAGAAAAGAGATGTTAGAATCCCAACAAGGCTGATATTCAGGACCGCCATGGGACAGGAGGAAAGGTCACTCGATGTGTTTAAGGAAAGAACTGTTTGTAGGTGTTAAAACGGTTCATGGCAAGTAAATTTGGAGTCCTGGGCTCCAAGTAAGACTGGTTTCTTACTGCAGGACTTGTCAGAGCCTTTAAAAATACAACAGATTCTCTAAGGGGCAAGTGCTTTTGTCCACAGCACACTTTCATCCTAGGATAAAAAGTTTTACACCTGCACCATCTAATATGGGCCACATGTGACTGCTGAGCACTTCAAATGTGGTGTGATCAAGGCACTCAATTTGTAATTTTATTAACTTTCATTCATTTAAATGTAATAGCCACATGTGGCCAGTGGCTACCATATTGGACAGTACATTGTAGAGCATCTCACAAAACTAACACTCTGAGAAACTATCTTGGCCGACAAGGCAGATGGCCACTAACAAACCAGCTGGCCAGGAAGCAGCTCAAGGAATCTTAGCCCGTGGGAAAAGATGGGCCAGATTTATGAAAGATAACCTTCTCATTCACCAGCTTCTAAGGCAGAAGTGAGCGGGCGACCCAGAGGCCACATGGTCCTGAGACTCTGCGTAGGAGCCTAGGAGAAACCACCAGCAGGGGGACCCCCGTCACTTAACAGAGCTTCATGAACTGGGGCTGCACCCCTGCTCTGCAGACACTGGCAGTCGGGGCTTGGGAGTGTCCCTTCTGCTCCCCGAGCCTCAGTTTTCCCACCTCGCAAGTGGGCCAACAGAAGTGGTTAGAGCTGCTACGAGGATGACTTGAAACCACCCACTTCTGAGACACATTGTTCATCTCTGACATCCAAATGCTCTCCCTCGGAGGCAGTGTTCCTTTCTTGGTGGTTCATGAAACAACAGAGCACCTTAAAATAGGTGGCGCCTTGGAGTTGATGAAATGTGGACCAAGAAATTGGCAGTGCCTGGAACTCAGGGCTCCCTGGTAAATATAAGCAGCCTATGGCCTGTTTCTCTTCCTTTCCCGCCTCTGTGACCTCTCCAGCAGGCCGTCACGGGGACCAGAGACAGCCCACGGGTCAGAGCTGCCTGCTGAGGGCTGGGCGAGGAGGGAACAGACAGGGAAGGGAGGCTCTCTCCTGACTTCAGCCTCAGAGCCTGAATTCAGCTGTGCTTCCCTGCCACCTCTGAGCATCCTCGATACACAGCCCAGGGGGCAAAGAAACCTGAGCAGGCCACAAGTGGGGACCAAAACCCCTGGCAGGGAAACAGCCCCCGCCAGCATCCCCTTGTCCGCAGGCCAGGCAGGGGCTTCGGGCGCGCACCAGCTGGCTGCGCAGGGGCAGAGGACTGGAGGAGGGCCACCTGTGGGCTGAATTCCACCCAAGGTGACCTGGCACACCTGGCCAGCCATCTGGAACACTCTAACCGCAGCTGTTGAGAGAGGTGCATTTAGGAAACAGCACTGGACGTTATACATGAAAAAGCCCCAAGCCCCAGAGAGAGGAGGTCAGGTAGGAATCCAGACAGACCGGGTTTGAATCCAGGTGAGCAAGTCTCCTGCCTGGGCTCCGCGCACCTTAGTTTCCTCACATGGTAAATGGGGCCACACGTGTACCTGCTAAGTCGCTTCGGTCGTGTCCGACTCTTTGCAACCCTATGGACTGTAGCCTACCAGGGGTTCTTCAGGCAAGAATACTGGAGTGGGCTGCCATGCCCTCCTGCAGGGGACCTTCCTGACCCAGGGATGGAGCCTGCATCTCTTACGTCTCCTGCACTGGCAGGCGGGCTCTTCACCACCAGTGCCACCTGTACTTATTCCACAGGGTTGTGGTGGGGATTGAAATCCATTCACTAAACACATTTAGCAGAGTGCCCGGCGCAGCAACCCTCAGTAAATGAACTCTGACCATCTTTATGACTGTGACATGACTAGGGCAGGCTCCACACTCCAGCAAACGTCAGCCAGGCTTGGAAACCACCAGGTCCTCCAGGACCTCCGCTGAGTGGGAGCACAGGGCCTGCGCCCCTGGTCACCTCTACTCTCCTGATTCCCAACTGAGGCCCCCTGGGGCCCGGGCAGCCGCCTCGCCCAACTGCAGGCTCCCGGATACAAGAGCCTCAGCCTGAACGGAAAAACCCTCCTCTCAGCTTGCCAGCTTCTCTCCCACCCCTGTGGGGTCACATCTCCCTTCCCGGGTGGCTGTAGGAGCTGCCTCTGAGGTGCCAGGCGGGGGTGCAGGCATCCTGTCTCACCAGATCCTCCCAAGGGCCTTAATGAGGTAATGAGTCCACCCACCCTTTCATCCTCCCTGATGTATTACTGACCTCATCCTGCGAGGCCAACCTGGGAAGCCTGAGCAGTTTGCCAGTCCTGCACCGTGTCCTCCGCCGGGACACTTACCACGACTCTCCCGAAGCATGACGATGCGCAGTAATAATCCAGAGAGCTCCCTATGGTCCAGTGGCTAGGACTCTGTGCTTTCACTGCCCAGGGCTCGGGTTCAATCCCTGGTCGGGGAACAAAGATCCCACATGCCAAGTGGAGTGGCCAAAAAATAAAAGAAACCTCCTTAAGAAAAAAAAAAATGCAAGACAGTCAAGACTCTCCACCACTAGTGACTCTTCCCTCTAGACTTGCAGCCAAGGGTCGCCAATTCCAAGTCTCACAGGCGCCAGGCAGGTGCCATGCATGGGCTTTGCAGGGACTGGCAAAACCCTTCTAAAGGCATGACCATGGTTTCACCTCCTTATCTTTCAAAAATATATGCTGTCCAAAGACATGAGGCAGGTTGACAGATGGACAGAGGTGGACAGACAGGTACAGTCAGATATTAATGGTAGAATCTAGATGGCAGGTATGTGAATAGCTGCTGTAAAATTCTTCCAATTTCATTATATGTTTGAAATTTTTCATATAAAATACTGGAAGAGAATGTCAGGCTTTTTTTTTTTTTTTCCTGCTTATAAAAGTCGGACTTCTTCCTTCCACTTTTTCTCCAAGTTCACTGCATTGCTACTGTCCCTGTGATTCCATGTGTAAATCTGTTTTCTGTCCACCTCCCCCTGAGCTCTGAGAGGGCGGAGACCAGGGGGGGCTTTGTCCCCAGCTCTGCTCCCCACTCCCACACCTGGCATGAAGCCGGACCCCAGAAAGTGGCATGAACGAGGGGCAGATGGGAGGAAACGTGAATCTAGAGGCACCCCTACCAGGTTCTTTTTCTAGCCACATTCCTGTAGGGCAGACTGACCCAACACACGGGTCTGAGGACTCACATGACTACGATGGCAGAGGCTATGGGAAGGGGCTTGGCCTCGGTTTCCCTGTCTACAAAGGGACCATCCCTGTGTGGCTGCTGTGGTGGGGGAGTGGAGGGTGGCAGAGGCATTGTGCACGCCAAGTCAGGGCTCAGAGCCTGGCCGTGATTTGATTACCACTGTGGCCTGATTTTCGAGTAACGCCATCCCTCGTGGAGGGGCAGAACCAGGGTTTGGTGATCATCAGCCCCCTGTGGGTGGCTTACCAGCTTCTTGCAGTGACTCAGGTCAGTCAACAGGCATTTCAGAGATGCAGAGAGTAACATTTGGCTTCCCTGGCTCTGGAAATGGCTTCTGTGTAGTTCTGAGTGTCCCTCCCCCACCCCCCCAGATGGCGGGGAGAAAGGCTTTCTGTCTCACCTTCTCCCAACAGCACGCCACGTGGGGCCCGAGGCCGTCGTGATCGGCAGGAGCCAGCCCCAAGGCAGCTGTTCTCGCAGGTCATGGCCACCGTGCAGAGACCAGGCTTCTGCTTAACGTGGGGTGGGATGTGGGGCCTGAATGGACTTCTGGAGCGGGGAAGGGAGCAGAAGGAGAGAGGGGCGAGGTGGGGCTGGGAGATGGCCCCCGGGAGAGGCAGGTGGTGTGTACACATAGAAGCACACGCAGCAGATGAGTCAGCAGCGTCTGGACCGCCTGTGATCAGAGGAGGAGCAGGGTAGAGCTACGCAGCCTCGGTCCTGAGTTCAGATCTCAGCTCTGGCGTCACTCTGGACAAGTGACTTAACTGCTCTGGGCTCAGGCCCCTCCCTTCCCGGAGCCCCGAGGTGCTGGGCAAACAGGAGGCACTCCAGGTGAAGCCGGCCTCCACACGCCTTGGGGACGGCTCTGGGCTGCTGTTTGCTTTGGCTCAGCCTGACGCCACCAGGCCCTGAAGAGCCACGTGACTGGTGCGGGGTCACCTGGTGAGAGTCAGGCACTCACACACAATTCCAGACCCAAGGCTGGTACCACCATCCCCTCTAGCCTTTCTTTCTATAACATTTCCATCCGTGTGTGTGTGTGTGTGTGAGCTCGGCAAAAGTGAGAGGTCTCTGACCGGAAAACCGAAAATGATTTTGACCCCTGAGCACACAGTGGCCTAAGAGCTGAAACTCACGCTGGCCCCGCCTCTGGACACGATGCGTTTCTTGTCAGGTTACCCAGTTTTACCTTTCATACAGAATACAGTCCTGCCTCAAAATTACCTTTCTAGTTTTACCTGTTTTGCAGTTATCCCAAACTTGTTTTTCATTATTGTCAGCCAATGGGCTCTTTAAACGGCACCCAGAACCTGCCAGAAGGGAGGGAGGGGGCTTGGGTGGCTTTCTACTTTATCGTCTCACATCCAGAGTAAAAAGAAGTCATCTCAAAAACAAAAGAAAAATCAAGTATGATCCCACTAAATGGTCACGGATTCTAAACACAGTCAAGCCTTGGTCACCTGAACACGTGGCAAATGGCCCCTTCTGTTTAGACTTTTCCTAAGCGTGCCACTCAACCCCAAAGGCATAACGAAAAGGCCGATAAGTCTGATTACAAACCAAAACCTTCTATATGGGATGGGGTGGGCATGGGAGGAAATCCCATCACCAATCAAAGCCAAACAGCAAAGTGATTAGGAGAGGGGGTGATCCATGTAACAAATATCATAGACCAAAGACTGTTATCCCTA